GAAGACATCAGTGTGATGCGTTGCAATTGTTTGTTGAACCCCTGTAGTTACAGAACACAAAGCTGAATGCTAACAGAAAGTGCAACCAGGTGTCACCTGCCAATCAGAAGCATGAATCTGACCACGTTTTTCTATACAACCTGCCTAACACACGTGTGTTACACAGGATTGTTGAATAAAACCTTGAATATAATTCAACTACTGAACTCAACTTCTTCATAATATTAATTAAAGTAAAGGAACTGCCGCTTTTTTAGCAGTCAAGTTCCCTCACCCATGATGTAAAAACGGAAAAAACATTTTCAAGTAACAACAGTAACAAGCTAATATCTAAAAGCTGTCTGCTTTTAGAGCTGATTTTCAACTGACAGAAAGTGTCCTGAATTGTTAAAATAAAATAAAATAAAATAAAATAAAATAAAATAAAATAAAATAAAATAAAATAAAATAAAATAAAATAATGTAGCGGTACACTGTTGATATTGCACAATCAAGAGTTTGCCTGATATTTGCAATTCACACCAGATTAGAAAGGAAATAGAAGAATAAAAGAAACTCCAGAAATAAGTTTAAAAAATTTCAAATGTCACAACTAATCAGAGACTCAAAAGGAATGATTTCACTTTATAGGTGTAAATCAAAGGATGATAAAGAGTGATCATCGCAAACTTTTATCATCTGAATTAGCTGATAAATAAAAGGTACATAAGCAATTTTAAGAGAAGTACTTATCCTGAGATTTCTTCCTAAGCTCGACAGAGATGAGAGCAGCTGATGATCAACAACACAGACAGGATATGATGACTGAAATCCTGATTCCTTAAAGAAAAAGACAGTCGAGAAGGAAATATTAACCTGAAAACCTATGAAGCAGCAACAGATTGATTGAGTCATTGAATTTTTTAACCAGGCAGTAGTGACAGAGCTCAAGGAAGACTGTTATAGCGGACGCCCTGGACCACTATCTCTGAAACGTGATTCTGTACCCTTCGCTGGTAATAACGTCCGGTCAGAGACGGGGAATGACGTCAGAGTGGAAGAACTTTATTTACCACGAGCCCACATCAAACACACTCTCGTTGGCAAGTAAGGATGTGTGTCTGAAATTAATACAAATAAGAAATAATATAATGTTTAGCATTTCTCACACTTCAGTATTACAGAGAACACCATACCAGATTACAAATGAACAGAACCAGAAAAAGAGCTTATCATAACAACATAACAGGATGGCATAAACACAGAATCATAATCAATTTAACCCTGGAGAACCCATGGGGTCAGAGCCGACCCCGTTTGTTTTCTAGGGAAACCAACAGTGTCCTCCAGGGTTAAGCCAATTCCCTCATTTATGAGTCAACACCACCCTCTAGTGGACACAATTACTCACTCAAAGGCGGCCAGGTTTACGCAGGCTTTATAAACAAGAACAAACTCGTATGCTTAGTAACTCCATCAGGTAAAATCTTTGTGAACATTAACTCTCGGCAACAACTGAAACAACTTATAAATAAGGAACATCCTGTGGAGCCAGGCGACAACTTACTTACCTACAGCATAGCTGCTAACACACAAGGCAATAATAACAGCTGTTTACATTGATACATGACAGCAACAGAAATAAAATACGTTCCCAATGTGACTTACTGGGTCTATGAAGGCACACTTGCACGTGTTGTGCAAAAAACTGATTTTCAATGTTTCTGTGTGTTTTTTATGTGTAATATCGTTACATATGTTGCTAAATAGACTTTGGTGAACAGGTATTACAAAGGGGTTATATACAAAATTAAAGATTTACCTGTTTCTCAAGTATCTTTGTAACTGTGTTATTGTACTTACATTATAATCAATCAGCTCCCTTTTGTCCACTTAAAAATTGGCAAATACCGGAAATCAGTTTTTGGAAGACAATCACGTTTTGGCACAACACCCGCCTTAGTCTGATTCAATCCAAGTCCATAACTTGCCTGCAGGGAGACACAGCAAGGAGAGAACGGGTGTGCACTCTGATTGGCTATTGGCCCCTGGGGGAGTCATGCTCCTCCCATGCAGGTAACGCATGCCCTGGCAGGAGGACTTTTTAGCAAGGACCTTGACACTGTTGAAAGAATTTGCTTCCATAGAGGCAAAAACCTGCAGATCTTTGAAGGATCATTTGGGAATCTCTAAACAGTGAAATAGTAAAACAACACAGTGATGGTGCGCATGAGGGAAAGAGCTTATACAGAGGTTAGATCCTGCCTTGAGACAGACACAAGAATTATATCAGGTGGAAGCGTTGTTGTAGTCACTCCTGTCATCTCAATATGTACCCCACATATTTCTGGTGCTCAACAAAACTGCTTCCTCTCATTGACATGTCTCATTTCTGGAGAGGAAACGCATGTGTAAAAGTTGCACCTTCACTATAGTATTTCTGTCCTTCTCTTCTGTTCTTCTACCTTTAGCTTTGCTTGTTTTTGATCTGCTAATTTTTGCTACTCTTGGTAGAATGCGTTTATTCCCACAATGAACTTGCTGTTGCTACATTCGCGCATTATTGATATATCACCACCAATCGGAGTAATACATTCAAGTTTAGTACTATGGTTAAATCGCATTAGAAATTAACAATTAAAAATTAACCTGCTAATGCAGGCTATTCCTTGAGTGAGGCCTATTTAAACAAATTACACCACACGAGGTGAGAAAATATATGTTTATACTGTACAAGGTTGCACCATTAAACTCTCTAACATGCCAGCTCACCATGATGATCACTAAAAAATTAAAACTTTCCCATCTATAACTAAAATACCTTACTCCCATATCGTCATATATACATTTGTTTTATTAAGATACAACTTCTCATATTTGTCAAGGACTCCAAAATATAAAAACGGAATTAACATAGTTTCATACTGTGCCGCCAAAAATTCAAATTGTACTGAACTCAGTTTCAGGTAAATTGTTCATCAGGTCACCATGGAAACACATAAACTAACAACTGAGTAAAAACCCTAAGACAAAAAGATAATATGTGAATATTATTATACAATAAACAAAGGCTATATTTAACAAGCACAGTCTTATTCCCAGTTTAAAATATGTGTCAGTCTGGTTTTCCCCTTCCATTTTAGTGGTATAGTCCACCCAAAGTACTATATGAT